AGCTGCTGCGAAATATCCGAGCGAGACTCTCTCTCTCTCAGCTTGCTTGAATCTCGTCGAAGCACGCCTCTTATTTTGCAACTAACTGAATCCCCATCGTCGTCATCGTCGTCATCGTCGTCGTCGTCGTCGTTGTCGTCGTCGTCTTTGGAAAGTGCCTGCGTAATCTTAGTGTAGTGCAATTCAACACTAACTGCAATCTATCTCTTTGGTGTAAGTGTCTTCTTGTTAAGTTTGTTGTGTATTATCAAAGGAGAAAAAGAGAGAGGTTCCTTTCCTGGTATTTTCTTCTTAAGTAATTGGAAGAAAATGGCAGAGTGATCCAAGTGTTTTGTCTAACTTTGTGGTATACTTGAATACTCGTTTGTAGAGTGTTCTTGTGTACAATTACCTGCAAAGTTTCATTGGGATTTAATTATATTAGAAATATTAAAAGAATGCGGGGTGCTAATCAAGAAACAGCTACACCGTACTGCCGGTGCAGAGTACTGTACCTTGGTAGTTCGGTACCTCATGCTAGTAAAGAAGGCTTGTTGGGTGTTCAAGAACCTTTGAGAGAGTTGTACCCAGAACAAGGAGCGTTGGGTGCTCGCGGGATAGATTCCTGGTTGAGTGTATGGAGCAACGGTTTATTATTGGAGAATGTCGATGAACATCGCAAGAAGGTTACCAGGTTCTTCCCCATAGAAGCACTTCATTATTGTGCCGCTGTGAGACATGTAAAGGGTGGTAACGGGGATTCCTCAACAACGAGATTCCTGCCTCTCGACTCGCCTTTCGCCAGGACGCCGAGCGCCAATCATCCGCCGCTCTTCGCGGCCGTCTTGAGAAGAACGACCGGTATCAAGGTCCTCGAGTGTCACGCATTCATTTGCAAACGTGATATGGCGGCCAACGCCCTAGTGAGATGTTGTTTCCATGCTTATGCCGATAGTAGTTATGCCAAGGGGCTAGATCCATCAACGGGAACAACAAACGGAATGACAACTGCAAATCCATCGAACAATAGTCTCTATCATACTTTGGGCGGATCTAGTACGACTCTGGATAATCCACAGGCTAATCGTTTGGATGCTACATCGACGGACGATCTTAGTCTTTACAATGGTGACGAAAATCATAAAGTTTGGGCTAAGGGTCGTGACGAGTTGGACGGTGTTTATCAGGAACAAGGAACATTGAGAAGTAGTAAAGGTTCCAGGCCACGGCAATTGGTTGCACCACCTCCGCCACCACCACCACCACCTCCACCCTCTCAACCTTTGTTGGTCGAGGAATCGACTTCTTCTGCTGCTAGGAGAAAGACTAATAAAAAAATGAAAAAATTAAAGACCCGAGCAATGCACGAAGATCCAATGCAGCAGCAACAGTTGCATCATCAGGTACATCAAGGAATGTATACTAATGGTCATGGCCATCATACTCTCGGCCATCCAATTAGACAACAGCATTATCATCCACATCCATTACCGCCAAGTAGTCGATCCGTAGCTGGAACTTTAGCCAGACCGGCACCTGTTTTATTGGTACCAGCCGCTACATTACCGAGGAAAGCTCATCAACATCATCCCAGAGGACTGAGACCAATCCCGGCAGCAGCACCTATCGTTCCAGTTTATGCTCCACTTCCAGTGGTTCCACCTCCTGTCGCAGCAGCCATTTATCCAAGTGGAACGTATGGTACTGCTGGTAACAGAGGTAAAAGGCATTCCGAAGTAGAAGGCTCGACTCTAGGTGCTTCTAGAAGATTAGCAGCCTCCCACGCCGATTTAACATCGACCGAGCTGGGAAAATCGGCTGATAGTCCGGAAAACGAGTCACGATTTGGTACTGGGATCTACCGGCGGAAAGGTCACTTGAACGAACGGGCCTTTTCTTACAGCATTCGCGCGGAACATCGTAGCAGGAGTCACGGTAGTTTAGCTTCTTTGGGTTTCAGTGCGCAGAACGGTAACGTATTGCCCAAAGAGGAGAAGAAGGATCGAGAGATAGCACAATTGGTGGCAGGATTAAATTTGGATGACAGTCCAAACGATCGAATTCAACCAATACCAACTTCTAGAGCTGGACCGTATCATCATCATCATCAACAGCAACAACAGCAACAACAACAGCAACTTCATCCTCCACAACAACATATGCAACCTTTACCCAGGCCACGACCACGTTAGGTACATCTAACTTACGTCAATTGTATCTCATATCCTTCAACGTCAATGTTCTTGCTTCTTGTGTTTATTTGCGATCGAGTTACGCTATGCAATGAAACTGCTATTGGACTGAAGCAACATTCTACTCGACGTGGGCGTCTTCTTTTGTGGCATTCGAGCGGAACGATCTAGCAGAGGTTATATCATGTTATTTCGAATACACATTGCTGTTGCGCTACTGCTAGTAGATCAAAAATGATTTCAAATTCGATCACTGCTAGAACAACTGCTAAACAAAAAGAAAATATTTATCAAAATGTAGACTGACAATATGAGTAAGTTGTTATTCCTATAAAGAATAACGCATGATCCATTTACATTGGCAAGATCCTGTTTTTAATCTTCAAATGACATGGCAATTTTTAGCTTCTTCCGAGACTAGTAAGAACTAATTAGACGAGCCTAGATAATTATTGTCAATTTTACAACGTAGACGGATCACTCTGTTGGTTTAAGCTCGTTAGATGAATGCACATGAGCAGCATATAAGAGCTGGCCTACCTCATAACGTTTCCTTTGAGAAATCGTCTCTGTTGTTTTATGCTCGCTATAGTTATCATCATATATCAAATTATTTTATTACATATGAATCTTATATACACACACAAACATTTATACATAGAAGACACACGCATCTATGTAATTTAATTAAGAGATACGACTCATATTTCTTCATTGTTTTATTCAATTTTGATTTTTTTTATTTTTTTTTTTTTTTGCGAGGAGAACCAACATCATTGAATCCTGTGCCAAAAACATTTTTTTTTCTTTTGTGCTTCTTTTAAATAAATGGTACATTTGTTTCCTAATAAATTAAATGAATAATTTAAATAAATAAGAAATATCGAATGAATACGAACTAATTTTGTTGTTTTATTCACGTAATCGCAAGTGCCAGAAAAAGAAAATCTAAGAAAAATATAGGATGAACCTGTGCTAATAAAATAATCGAATGAATAAATGAATAATATTAATGAATAATAAAAATAAAAATAACAAAACAAAAAATGTATTTTAATTCGCGATAATTCGTGTTGTAGTTATATCATCGTACTAACAATAAGAGGAAAAAGAAAAATCGAGAAAAATAGTTAAAGAAGAAATTACGCTTGAATGTGGATCATAAATATTTATCCTACAATGTTTAAATGTAAAAAAAAAATAAAAAGAAGAAAAGAGAAAGAGAAAGAGAAATAGAGAGAGAGAGAGAGAGAGAGAGAGAGAAAGAAAGAAATAAAGAAAAAACACATACATATTGAATTTCTTAACGCTAGTTCTCTAGTCGCGGCTTACATGACTTTATACGGCGACTTGCGAAACGATTTTCTCGTTGCGAACGAACGAATATCTGCGAGAAAAAGAAGATAAATAGATAAACAGATGAAATGAGATAGACGGATACATAGATAGATAGCTAGACAGATAGATAGATAGATAGATTACGTAAAATAAATAAATAAATATATATATTATATTATATAAATATAATTATACGAATATACAATACTGTAAAGTATATATATACATATATTTTTTTTTAGATTTACCTACATATATATATATATATATACGTAGGTAAATATAATAAAATATTATTTGTATTGAAAACAAAATTGCAGAGAGATCACGTGACAATTGACAATATGCTTTACATTTATGCACTTTATTATTATTATTATTATTAATATTATTAATATTATTATATAATACTATTATTAAATATTAATATTATATTTTTATTTCTTTTTTTTTTTATTCACCAAATAGTAAGAGTTGAAAGTAACGAGAAGCATGCCATTGATTAGAGTTCATCCGTTAATTCATCGGTAAGAATTGATGAGCCTAAATCGATTCTAAGAACATTATTAAGCATTATTATTATTATAAGATATTATACAGTATGAATGTATATTTAACGATATAAATATATATATATATATTACAACTTTAACCAAAAAAATAAGAATCAGATATTATGTAATTTTTTAATTTCATCTTTCTATTTTATCGTCATCGTGGTTGAACAAATGAATAAAAAAAAAGGGACAAAATAAATAATTTAAATATAATTATAATAAACAATGTATCCATTACGTAGGATTAATATCCTCTCGTTGAAATTCCATTCGTATGAAACACTATGATGCAGGATGATGAATTTCTTAAAAAAGAAGTAAAAAAAAAAAAAATAAAAAAAGAAGAAAACCATATGCGATGATGACATTAAGACAGTAATGTGATAACAGGAAATTGTCGATCAGTGATCCATAATCAATTGTATGCTTAACGATGACATCAGGAATGATCTATGAGGAAAAATGAAAAAAAAAATTAAAATAAAATAATAAGAAAATGCAACAACGAGTTAATTAAAATTATATTGCAAAGGGAATAAAAAGAAAAAAGGAAAATTATGTTATAACTTTTTCTCGTATGAAGAAAGAATGAAAGAAAGAAAGTATAATAGAAATTGATCGATTGGATCGATAGATCATGTATATAATATCGTTTCTTACGCAATATCCTTTCACTTGGGACAACAACGTTCATTGTGCTCTTAGCACATTCTTTTTATTAATTATGAAAGAAATTAAGAAATAAAAAAATAAAAAATAAAGGAAAACAACATGACGCGAAATCTTTTATATATATATATATATATATATAAATATAATTTAAAATATAATATAATTTAATTAATATATATAATATAATATATTAATTATAATATAATAATATATTATAATTAATATATATAATATATTATTAAATTATGTT